TGATGGTGATGGTGATGGTGATGGTGATGGTGATGGTGATGGTGATGGTGATGGTGATGGTGATGGTGATGGTGATGGTGCTGCAGGTACTGAATCAACAGTTAATATTTTCAAAAAAAACAATGATATTGACTGTAATAATAGTGAAATGATGAAAATACTTACAGGAGGAATTCTATATTTATTATTTAAGATAAAATGAAAACAGTTAATATTTTCAAAAAAACAATGATATTGGCTGTAATAATAATGATGAAAATACTCACACCCGCACACTATTTATTATTTAAGATAAAACGAAAATCAAGAGTTAATATTTTCAAAAAAACAATTATATTGACTGTAATAATAGTGAAATGATAAAAATACTCACACACTATTTATTATTTAAGATAAAACGAAAATCAACAGTTAATATTTTCAGAAAAACAATGATATTGACTGTAACAATAGTGAAATGATGAGAATACTTACAGCCTATATTTATTATTTAAAATAAAATGAAAATCAACAGTTAATATGTTTTCAAAACTATGATATTAGTAGTGAAATGATAAAAACACTCACACACTATTTATCATTTAAGATAAAACGAAAATCAACAGTTAATATTTTCAGAAAAACAATGATATTGACTGTAACAATAGTGAAATGGTGAGAAAGAATACTTACATACTATATTTATTATTTAAGATAAAACAAAAATCAGTTAATATTTTTTCAAAAAAAACAATGATATTGACTGTAATAATAGTGAAATGTTGAGAATACTTACAGCCTATATTTATTATTTAAAATAAAACAAAAATTAACAGTTAACATGTTTTCAAAAACAATGATATTGACTGTAATAATAGTGAAATGATGAGAATACTTACAGGCTATATTTATTATTTAAAATAAAACAAAAATCAACAGTTAATAAACAATGATATTGACTGTGATAATAGTGAAATGATAAAAATACCCACACACTATTTATTATTTAAAATAAAACAAAAATCAACAGTTAATATGTTTTCAAATAAAACAAAAATCAACAGTTAATATGTTTTCAAAAACAATGATATTAATAGTGAAATGATGAGAATACTTACACCCTATATTTATTATTTAAGATAAAACAAAAATCAACAGTTAATATGTTTTCAAAAACAATAATATCGACTGTAGCAATAATGATGAGAATACTTACAGGCTATATTTATTATTTAAGATAAAACGAAAATCAACAGTTAATAAATATGTTTTCAAAAACAATGATATTGACTGTAACAATAGTGAAATGATGAGAATACTTACAAACTATTTATTACATAAAATAAAATGAAAATCAACAGTTAATATTTTCAAAAGAACAATGATATTGATTGTAACAATCGTGAAATGATGAGAATACTTACATTCTATATTTATTATTTAAAATAAAATGAAAATCAACAGTTAATATGTTTTCAAAAACAATGATATTAGTAGTGAAATGATGAGAATACTTACACACTATTTATCATTTAAGATAAAATGAAAATCAACAGTTAATATTTTCAAAAAAACAATGATATTGACTGTAACAATAGTGAAATGATGAGAATACTTACATCCTATATTTATTATTTAAGATAAAATGAAAATCAACAGTTAATATGTTTTCAAAAACAATGATATTGACTGTAATAATAGTGAAATGATGAGAATACTTACAGCCTATATTTATTATTTAAGATAAAACGAAAATCAACAGTTAATATGTTTTCAAAAACAATGATATTAGTAGTGAAATGATGAGAATACTTACTTCCTATTTATTATTTAAGATAAAATGAAAATCAACAGTTAATATTTTCAGAAAAACAATGATATCAACTGTAGTAATAAT